TGTGTGTGTGTGTGTGTGTATATATATATATATATATATATAAAGCAGAGTCAGAGCTATAAGAACGTGACATTTGGCAGAGCTAAAACGCGACATGTGGCGAGCTGATGTGGTGACATTTGGCAAAGTTAAAGTGCGACATGTGGCGAGCTAATATATCACCCTTTTAGACAAACCGATCGGTTTGACCGGTTAGACCAGTTCTTTTTTTGCAATTTTTTTCCAAAAGCATACCACCATGGGGTTTGAAACAAGGATCTCTTGGTCATTTAGTTGAGTTCCTAACCATCCAAGCTAGGGTGCTTTTTGTTACAATCTCACTTAAGCTTTTATAATGTTTCATAATTAAAAAAGGATTGTATAAAAATTTCTTTTTAGTTATAAAAAATATAATCCTTTAATATAATATTTGAGACTTCGTTTGCTAAAAAGTCGCCAAAACACAAGCTTATGTGGGCTATATTAAGGTGAGATGGCAAGTCTTTATTGGTTGCTTATGTGGCAAATTTTATTAATGATGAATTGACCTTTCTTTTTATTTTAAAATAGAAATTTAATAATGATTTCAAATTTTGGAAAAATTTTACGTTAAAAGATTTAGTACAAATAAGACCTATTATTTTAATCAAAGAAGGTTTGCACTGTAACTTACCATATTTAAGATGTAACTTAAGATTTATAAATTTATATTAGGTGATAATTCACTATATTGATGCATGAAAATAAAAAAGATGGATGAAGTATGGCTCGATTCTCTTTTCTTCATTTTCGCAATCATACAAAGAAATTTAAAAAAAAAATGATATTCTTAGAGATGAAGCGATATAACATGGACTTTCACAAAAAATATTTCTATAAGAAAAATTAAGATTTGGAGGTCGAAAAACGCGTGAAGATCGGTGACAATTAAAATTTAGATGCAAGAATAATCAGTATTTTAAGGAGAAGTACGAAGAATATCTTATGTAGAGAAGTGAATAAGATTTAGGTTAAACTACAACATCAAAGAGAAATATAATTTTTAAATTGTAACTCTTTGTATTTTATAAAACATTATGTATTGACCAAAATACTTTCACACACTTAAATGATTGAATATTTAAAAAAGAAAGCAAAAAAATGAATAAAAATTGTGAAATAGTTTTTGTAAAATTTCATTAAAATCATAGAATCACTAATGTTTTTTTTTGCATTCACATAATTTTTGAAATAATACGAGGGAGAATAATCATTATATTTTTAATGTATTGTAAAATTTATATTTCTTATCATATGATTGTTAATTTATGTTTTCACACTTTTAATAATACAAGAAAAAAGAGTCAATTTTTAATTAGTGCAAAGGGCCAAGGAGAGAAAGAATCACATTAATGCATCATAGAAATTAAAATCATATATTTCCGTTAATGTAAATTAATCTGGCGGAGAAGAATCATGATTTTTTTAT